TACCTGCAGATTACCTAACACATGGTGCTGGTTGATGTGACTAAAATAATAATGTTTGAGGATCAGAAATAGGGCACCAGCCACTGCAGCCAGGTGTGCTTTCCTGGTTCACATTCTTTTAACCTGTCCTAATCAAGCCCTAGGTGCTCTATATATAACATCTGCTGTCCAAAGAGAGAAGCAAAATCAGGGAGGAGCTCTATTATTGACATCCTGGCGTAAGTACAAATTAATAGAATACCAGTGCAATATTTCAGGCAAGAATCTCAACTGATTTGATTTGATCGGCCAGCTTTGGGTATGTCTTATTGTTATTTGGGGTATAGGGTATAAATCAGATCAGAAGAAAAGGGAAGAAAATGTTGAGGAAGGGCTGCAACTTATATATTCAGTGAGGGACATTTATCAATCAAATTAGCAACAAATGTAGAAAAACAAAGAAGTAAGGAAGCAGGGTCTATATGACTTTTTTTATGTATTAGTGATTCCTTTGTCTGTAATCCTGAGAAGCCAACTGGGACCGATTTGCTCAGGTCTACAACAGATTTACCACTAGAAACAAGACAATGATTTTACTATTAACAGACTCAGAATTAAGAAATGGTCAAAGGCAGGTGTTATTTTGTTCCAGTGCTAATTTGCTAACCTACGGATAGGAGGAAATGACAAATGAAGCTGCCTAGTTATGATAAATCTGTTTCAACTGTCTTTCAGATCTGTCCCTCTGATCCTGTTTAGCAATACCTAGCTGTGTGACATAATCAATAAATGTCTCCCATTTTGGTAAGCTGCATTATGCTTACTACTCTGTTTCATTTATTTATTATTTTTTTTTATTACAGGTACTTATATAGTTCCGTCAATTTACGCAGAACTTTACATATATATTGTACATTCACAGCAGTCCCTGTCCTCGAGGAACTTAAAATCTAAGGTTCCTAACCCACATTCACATATATAGAGACCAATTTTAGACAGAATTAACCTACCAGCATGTCTTTGGAGAGTGAAAGGAAACCAACACAGGCACAGAGAGAACATGCAAACTCCAGGCAGATAGTGCTATGGTTGGGATTAAGGCCCTGGTGCTGCTAGTCAGAAGCGCTAATCACTTGCTTAGTTTAGTCCCATACATGTTACTTTACCTAATGTATAAGCATCTTTAAAGTCTACTCATAGAATCAACAGGAATTGTAGGATTATAAAGAAATATCCAGGTTAAACTTGATTTTATTTGTAACTAAATGGAAACTGAAGTGTAATCAAAGAAATATGGAAGACTGCAGGAATCCTTCATGATAAATACTTATTTCAATATATCTTTAATCATCCTCACACAATTATTCATAACATCTTGTTAAATACGCTAAGATATTTCAAACACCAAACAGGAAAGTAAATATAGTAAAGTATCAGGAAACATCTGTTCCATCTTCAAATGACATTGGTAATAAAGCTAAAATTTGCCTTCCTTATTACTGCAGCTCCTACAGTAAATTTTAAATGTGTTTCAGTGAATAGCAGTCTATACTGCGTAGGGATAAAGTTCAAATGAGAACAGAGAACTAATGAAAGTTGATTTCTGTCTAGTTGTGCTGCACAGTGTTTTTTTTTTAGAACTGTCTCTGTATATATGATAATGAATTGTAGTATGTGATATTTCTTAGATCTGCTTTATAGTTGGACGTATGAAATCATCCTCATTATAGTTCAACTAAGTGAGTCTGAAAATAAAGTTTCTTGATGAGAAAAGATGGATAAAGCAGGTTAAAAGCAACATAGAACATATCTCCATACAATTCAAAATTTCACTGAGAATTTCCTAAATTTTGTAAAATGTCCCAGTTGTTAGATCACTAAATGAGTTGAGTTGTGGGAATGACATACCAAATACAGTTAATTAGAATATGGGCTTGGAAAGCTCAGGACAAGGGATACTGTGTCTCATTTTTATTCTGAAAGGCTGACATGTATGAAAAATGTACAGTATCTATCACACCACTCAATATGGACATGACTACGAGAAACAGGATCATTTATAAAAACCATTGAAAAAACCATTAGGTCAAAGTGGAAGTGTCTGACAAGAGCAACCAATCTGACTGTGCTGGAAAAGTGAAGCAAACAACATGATTGTGCAATAGCTCAACTTCTTCATCTAGCATTTTTTGTTTCTGTTTTTCTTTTGTCCTGTTGGGGAAATTTCCTTTCAGTTTCTAGCCTAGAGAAACAACAGAAAGTGAGAAGAAATCTTTCCAACATGAGGGGAAATTACTGCTTAGACAATTGTCACTGGGATAGGTGTTCCCATCTGAAGATCTCACCTCCTATTCTGGTGACATCTCTAAAATGTAGGATTTCCCATTGCTTTGAGGCAATGATCAACAGGACAAACAGTGAGGGTGAATCTTCCCAGAAGGAACACAGGCAACAGTAAACGTCTGACAGTGGCACACATTTTCACTCTATCCACCTAACAAGTACTTGCCTACCTTATAATTACCTAGAAATCCAAAACAAGGACTAAGAACTAGATATGTATTCTTGGAGGCAGAAGAATGAGCAGGTTGTCATATTTACCTTTGCCTCACTATGTGGTGTAAAGGATTGCAAATGTAAATTCATTAACAATGTCATTTTCAAAGAGTACCAGGACTGTAATATTAGTAGGGAATGAAGACTCTAACAGGCAGCATTAATATGAGTGTGCGTAGCACTCCACAAAAATATTTTGTCGAGGAGTGCATCTATATTTAATCAAGGCCAATAATAAAAGTTATCTTCACTACATTTTGAAAACAAAATGATGAGAGCAGTTGCCAAAGAACATATTGCCTTGGCAAAAAATACAAAAAAAAGTACTGTAACTTACACTTCTTGTCCCTGGGTGACTACGTTCACTCCTACACTGTATCTACAGAGGGAACCCTTTCTAAATTCATCTCCGTTACACGGGTAGTAGTTCCAAAGAATACAGATAACATTGTTTTTGCTTTAGGTTTAGGTCACATTAAGTGACAAGAACGCTGCATATCTAACAAGAGCTACAAGTATTTTCTGTAATTCTTAAAAAAAGTTCTTAGTCTGAAAAAATTAAAACTAATGTAGTCACCACATCTAAGGCTGTTAAGCTGAAAAATATTAGTTTTTTGTTTTTGGGTTTATATACAATTTAAGTCAAACTAATCAGTAGGCATCCAAGGACCTAATGAAGATAAGTGTTCCAGGTTTTCTTTCCTAGCAATAATGCTAATCCTGTGTATCCCTTACAAATGAATGCATTCAGTTTTGCTGCCTGGCTGCCCCCGACCACATTTTAGGACATTGTGCTGGCTGCATGAAATGCTTGGTTCTTAAAAAAAACTGGATGAGATAGCACTTCAAACATAATCAAGGTTTATAACTATAGCTTTGCTTGTTAAATTCACAATTTGATAGAAGTACTATAAGTGTTGGCACTTTAAAAATAAACATTTACAGTGTTTTGTGTGCTGAGAATAGTGTATGAATCGCCATTGTCAGCAAAAGAGTATCTTCAGACTAGATGAGTAAATAAGGGAGCCTAATCCTGGTGAATGTATTCTTCTGTATACTTGGCAAAAAGATGGCTTTGCACCTTTTCTCTATAATGACTTTCTGCTAAATAAATACATTTTCAACTATCAGTTTTTAAGGCAGTGTTGAATGAGTCAGCAAGAACAGCTGTGGGAAGCACATTTTACAGATTGAATATCATTATCCAAAATATCATGCTACTCCTCTCAAGAAAACCATACTATGACCTGTGGCAAGTGTTTTCTATATTACAGCATATTTAGGCAAATACATTTCAAGCTGTTTTGCATATTAAGGACATAAATATGATTGAGAAAGGCAGCGAAACATCAAGAAAAAAATCACTGCATCAGATTAAATAGCAGAGTCATTCTTATATTCTCAGTTAGAAGAAATTTGTTGTAACTGTTAGACTTGTCAGTTGTTTAAAAACACCGATAAAAGATCTTTTTTGGTAAGGGCACCTCTGGATGCCCCTTTTTTTAAAATAGCCATTTTTTTTAATCAATGTAGTAGGGATCAGCATTAAACTGCAAGCTCCTTTGAGGACGAATGAGCAAACTAATGTGAATAGACGATGAATACCGTACAGTGCTACAAAATAAGTTACTTGTCTAAAATTAATCCAATACAATTGTCATTTGTATAGTTATAGTTCTGATCAAGTAATTAAGTTAAAAAGGACCTGAACTGCGGAAGCCGTGCCCAAGAAAGACAAGCAGAGGGCAAAAGATTATTCACTTGTATTGTTTGAAGTATCCATGCAACTGATCTTTTACCCATTACTGACTTATCATGTCTTGTACTGCACTGCAAATCTGTTCAGAGGTGACCATCTTGCAGGAGAACTTTGTTTTCTCATTTCGGAGCTTCCCCCTTGATGACTGGTGATCTGATCACTGATGTTAGAATAATTAACCTCCCTAGCGGTCTGATTATGTCCATATTTCTGTGTTCAAAGCAGTAAATTTTTTTGCATGGAAATATGTATTTTTTTTATTGTAGGCCTGTAATTTTTAGGAATAACTTTACTGAAATCTGTCCGAACAAGAGTCTAGTAAACATTCCGGGTATGTTAAAATTTGAAACACGAAATCATAAATTATAATTTAATAAATAATCATAAAAAATAATAATATAATAATACATTTAATTCAATAATGTAATCAAACCAAAAACACTGAAATTTGAAATACAGTGGCAAGTTCGCACATCACTGAGCAAAGTCGCAAAATCGTTTCCGTGTCTGATGACGAATTTCCCCACGAATCATTATCACTCAATTCTGCAAGTGGTTCTGATTTACTATAGCTGTTCTCTAGCTGGTCTAAAACCGCTTTTGACCTAAAGGGATGCTTTTTGGACGCCATGGACATTTCTCAGTTTCCAGGCAGAAAGAACAGTAAAAATGCAGGCAGGGCGCCGGACAAAGCACTAGGGAGAAAATGTATGTGAAATGGTTTGATACAGTAATGTTTTACTATGTTATTTTAGTGAATTTAGTGAATGTCACTTTTTGTCATTTTCAAATTTTCTGCCGTTCCGTCCCCCGTACATCCCGATGCTCCCAGGGAAAGAAACCCAGATGACAGATACCCGGCATCCGCCAGAGGAAATCGCCGGGGACACTGCAGGAGGGACATCACAGGAGTGCAGGACAAGGTAAGAGAAGAACAGATCCCGGAGCAGAGCCGCATGGTAAGCCCGAGTGTAGCTCAGGGTTACCGCTTATGGTACAGAAACTTTACCCCGAGCTACACTCGGGAATACCACCAGTGACGCTACGAAGCGACAGCTAGATAGCTGCAGACAGCCCAGATCCACTAAGTGATTAAAGCGATAATAAAGGCACTTTTTTAATTAAAATAAAAAACATGTTATACTCACCTGCCCTGTGCAAAGGTATTACATCTAGGGGTCCCCAGCCAGTACTCTTGGCATCTCCTCTTCTATGTCTTCCCCCATAGCAGGCACATGCTATGGGGGCAGACGTATGGGCTTGTTTCCAGGCTGTCCATAGACACACAAAGATCGGCTCAGATGCAGCAGGATCCAATGGCTGTCTCTGTACCTGTGAGTAGAGTTAGAAAGAGCAGAGATGCTGCTCTCTGGTACAGAGCTGGCTTTAAAGAGGAATCAGGTAAGTATTTGGGGGGGGGGGCTGAAACTGGATGGCTTTTTACCTTAATGTATAGAATGTATTAAAGTAAAAACCTTTAAGCCTTTAGAATCACTTTGAGGAAGACACAAGGAGATCCCTGAACTGCACCTTTTTTCCCAGGATGGAGAAAAGCACAAATCTCATTCGAAATCTCCAAATAGCAATCAAAGGCACAGTGCCTTAGGTCTCACACTGCAGATATACAGCATAAGACTGAAGGCACAGAGAGTGTACTGCTTATTTATAGGAGAAAGTCAAGAAAAAAGGTACATTTCAGAGTACTGCTTAGTTGCAATTACCATTTGTTGACGTTTCCCTCACGTTTGAGCTAAGGTCTATAGTAAATTTTTGTTAAAGAGACATTGTCATGTGATGTACATCTAATGAATAGACTTGAATACTTACCTCCCACTACTGAATATGCCACGCAGTTCAGCTCCATTGCTGTCCATGAAGTGCCTAGGAAACCAACACTTCTAGGAGCATTAATGTCCATGGTCTCCCACATTTCTAATTGGTTCCTCCCTTTGACCTCAAGTGATTGTAGAATGCATTGAGAGTGCTAAGATACCAGAAAAGAATCAGATTAATTGGTAGTTGCGGCACAAAACATGCTAAATACAATGGTATATTTACGTAGCCTCCCTTGCGGTATTCCCGAATGCAGCTTTGGGTAAAGTTTCAGTACCACAAGCGGTAACCCCGAGCTACACTAGGGCTTACCATGCGGCCCTGCTCCAGGATCTGTTCTTTTCTTACCTTGTCCTGTGCTCCCACGATGTCCCTCCTGCAGTGTCCCCTGTAATGTCCTCCGGCGGATGCCAGCATCTGTCTTCTGGGTTCCGTCCTCTGCGACATCGGGACGTACGGGGACGGAGCGGCGGGAAATGTGAAAATGCCAAAAAGTGACATTTACTAAATTCGCTAAAATAACATAGTAAAACATTACTGTATCAAACTATTTCACATACATTTTCTCCCTAGTGCTTTGTCCTGTGCCATGCCTACATTTTTACTGTTCTTTCTGCCTGTAAACTGAGAAACGTCCATGGCGTCCAAAAGCGTCCCTTTAGGTCAAAAGCGGTTTTAGACCAGCTAGAGAACAGCGATAGTAAATTAGAACTACTTGCAGAATTGAGTGATAATGATTCATGGGGAAATTCATCATCAGACACTGAAAACGATTTTGCGACTTTGCTCAGTGCAAACTTGGAGCTATATTTAAAATTTCAGTGTTTTTGGTTTGATTATATTATTGAATTAAATTTATTGTTAATATTATATTATTGTTTTTTATGATTATTTATTAAATTATAATTTATGATTTCGTGTTTGACTCTTGTTCAGACAGATTTCAGTAAAGTTATTCCTAAAAATTACAGGCCTACAATAAAAAAAATACATATTTCCATGCAAAAAAAGTACCGCTTTGAGCACATAAATATGGACATAATCAGACCGCTAGGGAGGTTAAACAATATATTTCCACTAATACCTACACACGCATATTTATCAGTTGGCCCTTTTCTGAAATCCAAGGTTTGGCTAGTTAGTTTGTCATTTTAGATTTACAATGTAAAGAGTAACTTTGTCCATTGTACTACTTTTTTTTAGAAGAATGATGCTTTAACATGAAGTGTTTGGTACGTGAGCGGCTCCATACAGTTACTGACGGTATGAAAAATGAAAATATACATTGCAGTAATCAACCCATAAAGTAATTTTCTTTGCTCCAATTTGTCTTATTCACTAAACCCATCACTATAATAAGATCTGCTGCTCTGTTGCACACTCTACTCATGAGAAAAATATTAGATCACAAGGAAATTAATAATAATAATTTACCATTGTTAGAAAAATGCCAGTTGTCTGACCATTTCTGGTTTTAACCAAATGACATTAGGGATGAAATTTGGTTTCAGTGCTACCATGTGTTTACAGTAGTTGGCCAAGAACAAAGACATGGAACAAGTATACAGTAAGTTAAATAAGAACTCCCAACCAGACTAGGCAGATAAATTGTGCAGGAAATCATTGTATCATCATTGCTAGAAAAGAAGCATTAATAATGGAATCAAACAGGTAATAAATGAATTCAAATGAATTCAAAAGCAGATAAACTGCATGATGTTCCAGAAGTGTTTTGTGCATAGAATCTATAATCTTATTGTTAATCAATGGTCAAATCAATCTATTAAGCAAAAAAGAAGCACACTGTGAAGTGCATGCAGGTAAACACATAAATCCAGCAATTAAAATGTCAAATTTAATTGACTAAATGATTTACCACAAATTCTAGAAAAATGCGCTAATAGTGGGAACGTAAGAACGGATATACAAGATAAGAAAACTTTCACAACCAAAGCTGAGCAAAGATTGAGGTATGTTTGCCATACTTGGAATGATGGTCACAATTACTGTAATGGGATCCTGAGGCACTTAATAAAACATAAAGCACTTGCCCTTTGTGCTTGGCTGTAGTAATGCTCCTATCAGGGAATTCCTATTAGCTAACTGGCTCGTAAATCTGCCCATGTGTATACTTCTGCATGAACACTATGCACATGTATCATGGTGTGTACGCGGATGTGTGTGCATGCCTAGAGTCAGTATTGGCACCTGATGGCGTATTTAAGGGTGCTGGCTGGTCTTCATCTTGTTTCTTGCTCCCTAACTTGTGTTCTGCATGTGTTTCCTATGTTTCCTATTATCGACTTGGCTTCCTCCTAATCTGTCTCAGTCAGGAGCACTAAGTGTCATTTCTATCTGCTGCTTCATTCTTCTGCTATCAGCATAAATCGCTTCTGACAAGTTTTCCCGACACCAAGGGAAAAAGGTGACAGGGAGGGACATCCAGCACACAGCCTGTGATTGACAGCCTCAGCTTTGTTCCTGTGTGCTGTGTGAAGGGAGGTGTGTCTCTTTCCTCCAATCAGCTCTCGGAACTCTCCTAGCTGAGCTCTGCAGAGTATAATTTCAGCTCTCCACCCCCACCTCTGCTTTCTGAGTTGGATTTTGAATGACTATAGAGGAGAGAGAGCTATGGATAAGCAGGTACAATTTATGTAAGGGTGTCTGTTTAATTTCTGTGTATCACCTGAAGCAGTCACTTCCCTGGGTATATTGAAGGGTTTACAAACACTTTAACCTTGATCCAGCTTCTGTTGTGATACTGCACTGCCAACTTGTCACTGACCTTAGATTGATCCATGACTTCACTTCTGCCTCCAATTCTGCTTCACACCATTGTTTGGCTTACTGGCTGATGCAGTTGTCTACTTTCATGCCAAGTTCTGGCTCGCCTGCTGACTCCTCTTCTGACACTCCTGCTCTCATGTTCTGCTGGATCTTCCTTGCCAGGAGATACAGTATGATGTTCTGCAAACAGCATTCTCTGGCACCTGTGTTCCTCCTGTCCCTTTGCACCCTAGGAGGTGCCTAGGGACAGGAGATATAAGAGAGGCTGTCTTCTTCATCTCAGTCTCCTATCAGGTATGTGACAGCCCCAGTATATTGTTTACATGTTTTATGTGCATTTTTACACACAGTAGAATGTTTATGTAATGAAGTTGCATAGCTGCCAGTACCTATTCGGGTTTTTTTCTAACAGGTGTACACAGGTAGGATTCTTCTAATTCCTCTCTGGGCTCACTGTAGATTTCATAAGGACAGCCAACACACAAATACATCTAAAACACATTGGAAAATTCTGTATTATTTTTAATAGTGCAGTTTTCATTTATACCTTTTTAGTGTGAATACTTGCTGAATCTTTGGTGCAGTTCACAGCAATCTCATTACAAGGGAAAGGCTGCCCACTCACTTGGTTATTAATATGGTTGTAAAAATTAGACTTCCTTCTGCACTAAATGATGTGGTAGGAATAAGAAATGCAGCACTGGCAACCAGTATGGCGCAGTACAACAGTATCCTATTATAGCTGAGGTATTATTCAAATATGAAGTTTTTCATAGAAAACAAAAAGGTGAAATTTTACAGCACCACAGTTTCAGTGGTACTGTGTATTCCTAGACTTGTCAGTATTATTATGTAGATACTGGAAAAGGCAAAAGACAAAACAAAAATAAAATGTCTTATAATTTCTAAATATATCAAATTACAAATAGACACTGTAAAGAAATGTGTCTTTTACGCCAGTCATCCATGGTCCCTGATGAACCAGTTGATTTTCGATCCATGTATAGGCAGGCTGACTGCACCCAAATCAAATGACTTGGGTACAACCAGCCTGATTTTTTTTACATGTGATTACTGCCAGCAGCTATAGCCGCTAGGAGTAATCATTGTGTTATGCCAGCTGGAAAGGCCCCCCGCCAATCTCTGCCGGCAGAACACAACAGAGCCATGGGAGACATTCTCTCATCAACACTGAAGCTATATTCAGACATAAGTTGCATGTTATCAAGCATTTTAAAAGAGTTTCTTTCAAGCATTTTTGAGCATTTTTTGGAGTAGAACTGCACATTTTCACAGCTTTTGTCAGATGGTTTTTCAGGCGTTTTTAACTAGGCGTTTGGAGTGCTGCTGGGAAAGGGATGGAGAGCTGATGATTGAGCAGAAAACATGCATCAAATGCTTGAAAAAATGCTTGAAAGCACTCACGT